CTCCTTTCAGCTAAGAACAGGAAACTGAGGCTACAATTTGCACAAGCTCATGGAAATTGGACAATAGAAGATTGGAAAAACGTTGCCTGGTCTGATGAGTCTCGATTTCTGCTGCGACATTCGGATGGTAGGGTCAGAATTTGGCATCTACAACATGAAAGCATGGATCCATCCTGCCTTGTATCAACGGTTCAGGCTGGTGGTGGTGGTATCATGGTGTGGGGAATATTTTCTTGGCACTCTTTGGGCCCCTTGGTACCAATTGAGCATCGTTGCAATGCCACAGCCTACCTGAGTATTGTTGCTGACCATGTCCATCCCTTTATGACCACAATGTACCCAACTTCTGATGGCTACTTTCAGCAGGATAATGCGCCATGTCATAAAGCTGGAATCATCTCAGACTGGTTTCTTGAACATGACAATGAGTTCACTGTACTCAAATGGCCTCCACAGTCACCAGATCTCAATCCAATAGAGCATCTTTGGGATGTGGTGGAATGGGAGATTTGCATCATGGATGTGCAGCCGACAAATCTGCGGCAACTGTGTGATGCCATCATGTCAATATGGACCAAACTCCCTGAGGAATGGTTCCAGCACCTTGTTGAATCTATGCCACGAAGAATTGAGGCAGTTCTGAAGGCAAAAGGGGGTCCAACCCGTTACTAGCATGGGGTACCTAATAAAGTGGCCAGTGAGTGTATTTTCAGAGCTATGTTGGCAAAAGAGACAATGAAATCATACAGAGTGGTTAAAGGTTTTCTATCTAAGGAAACTCAGCTGATTGCATGCAGTCATCAAAAATAAATTCCGGATGAGTCTCGAGTTACAGTATACAGTACAATCCCTTGCATGTGTCATTGGCTGTGCAACAATCCCTGCATGCATCCATTGACAGTGGAGAGCAGAAGCACAGAAGTCCACACAAAACATCACAAAAGATTACACAATTTACAGTTCATGGCACCTTTTTTCACTTGTCTACCTTCAAATTCACATGAGTCAGATAATGTGAATGGTGTGTATATAGCTCAGTTTATTATTAAGCTTTAACCCCTTTTTTCCTTTCAACTAAATCATTATTCTCCTCCTTTTTTACTACTAGCTCTATGGAATAGACATTGGCTATGTCCGAATGTCTGCCCTAATCACTCTATAATGGTTATGCCATTTTAAATAAGTGCCCAAATGTCTAATGGATGAAAAAGTAGTGGACTCGAAATTTCCCACAATGCACCTGGAAAAGCAGTGATCATCTATAGGCTGTCCAAATATCTGCCCTAACCACTAAATCCCTCAATTACTATACTGAGCGGGGACTATATAGTGGACTTTATAGTGAACTCAGGTAACTGACCGTTCGGACAGATAATTACTACTTTTCGCTCCCCGTTTGTCACGTAACTCCGCCTCCATTGCACTGTGCCTGTGCCATCTTTCTTATTAGTACATATTGACATTGGTCCGCTGTAACAACAAATCCCATAATGCTTTGTGAGGAGAGCTCTCCTCACAAAGGAGACCATGGATGACTACCTGCTCGTGACCATGGATGACCACTACTTTTCACAGTGCATTGTGGGAAATTTCTAAAACTACTTTTTCATCCACTAAATGATCAGACACTCATTTAAAATGGCGTAACCACTATATACTGCCCTATATAGTGGTTAGAGCAGACTTCCTCACACGGACATTGTTTCCTTTTTTTTCGAAGTACTCTGCTCTTCGTTCAGGATCAGCATACCTCCACTCACTGTAAAGAAGCTGCTTCCCAGTTAATTAATCTAACAATACAACTTTTTTTTCTTTTATGAAAGAAAAAAAAACTAAATAAACACCATAAAAAAATGTATCCACATGTCTAGAGTCACTGCTACTGTTGATTGTCACTGGTGCAACACTAGTGACAGCTTTAAAGAAAATCCATTTAACAAATTGGTCTCTACCTAAGCATGAAATCACATGTTCTTCTGTTATAATCTAGTTAATAAATTATGTAAATTAATTAATTAACTATTAAAATAAAACTATTTTGATAAAACCGTAATCAATCATCAATTTATGTAGACATTAGTACTTGTAAATATCAATTTTATGCAGAATGATTATTGATAAAAGTTAGTAAGTAATGACAATGGAAAAGATGTTTACCCCAAACTCAAACCTAAAATATTTTTTTTCCCTTTTCCTTTTTTTTTTTTTTTTTTATTTTTTTTTTTTTTTGCATATTTTTGTCTTTTTTTTCGCCGGGTGTGTGGGAGTGTATTTTTTTTTTTTTTTTAGAATATGTGTGTTTTTTTTTTTTTTTTTGTTTTGGCAGTGATTTTTTTTCCCTTTCGGCCACCCTTCAGTGTACATTGGTTATTGCCTGCCCACCCTTATAAAGAATTTCTGGCTACGCCTCTGTATAGAACTAAAGATACAATGCAGCAACACCTTATAAAATAATAATAATTTAACTTTATAGATCTCAAATTGGCGACATTTATCTCTGCATTTAACCCATCCCCTTGGGGAGCAGTGGGCTGCCATTGTCCAGCGCCCGTGGGGAGCAGTGTGGGGTCAAAGTGTTTTGCTCAGGGATCCAGAGGGGAGGCTGTGGGGATCAAATCGGGTACTTGCAACCTTCCCACAGCACAATTGCACTGCTCTTACCACTAGGCCAACACTCCCCTTGATACCTGATCACTGAAGTATATACGGTATCAATCAATACGAAATGCATAAAGTGGTAATTGAAGATAAAAATTGGTGAGTATGTTAGTAACCAGATCCAAGCTCCTGTAGCTGTTTGTTCCTTCCTCTTTTCTGATATTTGGTATGTACTGTACTGAAAACTATGCTTTGCTTAACCATCTGCATCAAACAGGCTTTTAGTCAACATGAAATACCACCGCAAGCTTTATATAAGAAAATAAAACTACAATAAATTCTCCTTTATATTAAAAATACCCAACAATTTCTAAGGAGGATATGTCTACCACCATGGTATTTACAGCAGCCGAGTGGATATGTGATGTCACATTATGTAAAAACTGGACTTAAACTGGAAGCGCTACAAATGTTTGTGCATGTGTGTGTGGGTGGCCATGATCTTTCAACATCTTGGGTACATTTTCCCAAAAATATACTACATTTGGGGGGAATAACTTTATTTATGGGGACCAAAATCTGGTCGTCATGAGGAAACGTTCCCTTCTTGGGATGAGGGAAAGGTTCAGGATTAAGGTGTGAATTGAGCTAAGGTTTGGTTTAGAGTTAGATATCTGTTGGTATTGGTTAGGCTTAGGGTAAGGGTTAGGGTTAGAAATAATTGGCAAATTAATATGTCATGATGAGCTTTAAGGATCTGACCCACATGCAGAAACACATTCAGAGGCCAGGTTTATTGTGGTTCACAAAACACAGACTGAGAGATATACAGCTGGGTAACACTGTTGGACCTCTGCGGACTGGTGAACCGGAACAAGAAACTCTGAAAGGGAGATCACAATGATCAGTTCAGGGACCATAGAAAAAATGACTGAGGTTGTGAATTTGCTGGAGAGGCACTCACGCTTGAGGAACTCTTGGTTAATCTTTGGATCCAGTTTGTGTGGTCTTATCCAGAGAGGAAGAACTCGTTGGAGGGTGGACAGGCAGGCTAACGTTGGGTCCAGTGGAGCAATGGAGCGGACTGCCACCGGGTTTTCCTGAAGAGGACTTGAACGGATCATGTGGAGGTCTCCCCTTGCTCAATTGTGACTCAGTTTATCCTTCCAGGGGGGTAGAAGGTCCAGGTTTATCCAGTGGATCAGGAAGGCTTCCTGCCGGAGAACAAAGACAAAGCAAGCTTAGACTCAGAGAGACAAGGCTAAAGGTTTGACTCAGCTAATCTCAGTTTGGCTAGAGTACCCAATACTGGCAAACACTCTGGCGTCGAGGTAGTGACAGCCCGCTGCTCAAATACTCCTCTGGTGATGACCCAACAAGCCGCAGGTGTGCGAGGAGGCCCAAACGAGGACAGGGCACCATCTAGTGGTGGAAAAAAAAACACAAAAACAACCCACACAAACTGGATTCCTAACAGAATAGTCAGTGGAAAGTTCTCATAAGGATAGTGTGGCATAACATGGGGTTGTGTGTATTTGTGTCAATTCAGGCATGTATCTTATTAAAACATGCTTATACTGACAGCAGACGGAAGACATTGAGATTACAATTGTTGTCTCCCAACTCTGTGGTATGAACATATAATTAACTGATTACATTTAACTTACTGTTGTATGAACACAACAGTAAGTTACATGTCAGAATTCATTTTCATAGGATAGTGATAGCTCTAAAATAGGTAAAATCGCATTTATTATTATTATTTATTTGCTTTATTGGCTTTATTCGCCACATCAAAATCTGAATCGCCAATTTCTCCTGTCTTCACAATTTCCTCTGTGCATTCAGGGAAACCAGACATATAACATTGTCTTTCACTTTTGTAAAAACATTGAGTATATGCTTTTTACATTAAAACAGAGCAATAAATTTTAGTTTTATCAACTTTTTAATATATTTATATTTAGGATGACTCAACTGACAACAAAACAATGCAGAAGTCAAGTTTTTTTTTTTTTTGTTCGGTGCCCAAATACAGTGAATGGAACATAGTCTGACACTGAAACAGAACAGTAATCACAGGAACAGGCCTAATATAGAATGCAACAAATAGAACGGAAGGTGTTATGTGCTAGTTCTGTATTCTGTTGAAGTTGATTTAAAAACAGACCTGAAATGCAAAGCCAACTAAAAACAGAAAACTGGTCATTTAAATTTCACTGAAAGCAGTATTATTTAAACAGCCTATTACATCTACTCTCACAAATATCTAATGTCTTTTGAAAATCCCAACATTATTATTTTTAATAAGAAACAGCTATACATTTCTGAAGGCAACTTTCACTTCCTAAGAGATTCACAGAAAACCAGCTAAGCTGCAGGAAGATGGTCTGCCCCTAATCTTAGCCAGTGTTTGTCATCTTCACTTAGTGTGCAAGAACACACGCAATATTAGCTTTTACAGAACAGAACTTTACCACAGATGAGGAGGCATACCCTTTTGTGAAGATCACACATTTGTACCCATTTCTAAAAAGTAAGTATTAATTTATTTTCTTTCGTTTCTTAAAAACGTTCTGACATATTCAGCATTCCTAATTCCCAATATTGAATAGCATTTATGGAAATCTTCTAGAAATATTGTAAACGTGCACATTTTCTACTGCATTTTCAGGCCTCCTGGATACAGATACACAAAGGTTGTTTTCAAATAGGATTTGACAAAGATTATAAAATGGGATCCAATGACAAAACAAGACCAAAAGGACAATTGAGATTTTGCAAGCTCAACATGTTCTTTCTCTTGATGTTCATGATCTATTTCCCTGTTCCTGTGAGTGGATTTTCCCTGCAAAGTTGCACAGTGAGCATCAATACAGCCGTATGTGTAAAGAAGAGACTGACTGCAATACCTAAGGATGTTCCTCCAACAGTAACTGGCTTTGACCTATCTGTAAACAGGCTGACGAGAATACAACAGTCAGATTTTCCACCATTACCTCTTCTGCTTTTTATGGATCTGAATCGTAACAAAATTTCGGAAATAGACCCCGGTGCTTTTCGTACGCTGACTTCCCTCCGACGGTTAAATCTCAACAACAACAAAGTTATTAAACTGGGGGAAAGAGTTTTTGATGGATTGAACAACCTCACTGTGTTAAGAATTAATTATAACCAGATTAAAGTGCTATCATCCACATCTTTTCAGTCGCTGACAAAATTAGAAGTTTTGGATATTTCTCACAACAAACTGCAGAAGAGTGCAGATCTGGAGCTAATATTGCATCATATGCCACAGCTGCAAGAGTTGGTGCTAAGAGGAAATAGTTTAAAAGCTTTTAATTCCTGGGAAATTACTAACCGCTCACTTGCTCTTCACATTCTTGACTTGACTCTTAATCCGCTGAAGGACTTTAAGGTTACTTCTGATATCTTCCAAAACCTCACCCGCCTGAAGCTTGGCAATCCTAAAGGCAACGAACAAACAATATGGGATGTGAAAAACCACACTTTCCTGAGCAGAGTGTCCAATCTTGATATCAGTGGGCTCATTATGACTCTTGATGATATGAAATCATTACTTGAAGCAGTAACTAGCTCACTAACTTCTCTACGGATGAACAGCATGAAATTAAATCATAGCCAACTCATCAACATGTCTTGCTCCCTCCCGACAATGTTCATATTGCAGTTTCAATTCAATAAGCTTAAGAATAAAATTGATTCTTATTTCTTTAAATCCTGCGTTCATCTGACTGAGTTAGATTTAGCAAATAATTATATAGAACATATCCCAGAAAATGCCTTTATGACTCTGAAAGATTTAAAGGTTTTGATTCTAAGCAACAACAAGCTTTCATCAGTTCCAAATGCAACAAGAACTCTACAAAATCTTATAGAGCTCGATCTCAGCAGCAACAACATCGGTTCGGTCACTTGTATGGATTTCTCCAATAATGTGAAGCTAAAGGAGCTAGCTCTGAAGAATAACTCAATCCAAACTCTGAGTGACTGCGTTTTCAAGAATTTGCTACAACTCCAAGTTCTCCGATTACAATCCAATCAGTTAATACAACTAAATAAAGCTTTTGAAAAAAATCTCCCCAACCTTAAACGTCTATATTTGAATGGAAACAAACTCAAAAAAATTTCAGCAAAGGAATTTGCAGGCTTGCGTTCTCTCCAGAATCTAACATTACATCAAAATCAAATAAAGGACCTTGTTGAAGACAGCTTTGTTGGACTCACAAATCTCACTGATATTAACTTGCAGACAAATTGCCTCACCATGAAGGCCTTAAAGACAGGTGCCTTCAATGCTCTTATTAATCTTAGAAGTTTAGATCTAACTTCTAATCATATTAAATTTGAGCCACTGTCGCATCCTCCATTTTCTAATCTGTCCCGTTTAGAGAGGTTGTTCTTTATGGGCCAACATCTTAATGGGAATCAACATCTTAGCATCAACTCTCTCCAAGGTTTAAACAACCTGTTATATTTTAATGCCAGAAAAAATCATCTTACTAACCTTGATAACGACACGTTTACATACACTCCGAAGTTAGAGTATCTTGACATTGGCTCAAATGACTTGAAGACCCTTTCTTCACAGCTGTTTGCCCCAATTAAAAACCTTAAAAACCTCTATATACACCGAACAGCTCTGCATTCATTAGATTTCTTTATAGAGGCCAACCTGACTAAGCTGGAGTTCCTTGAGGGAAGACACAACCAGTACTCAGTAATCACTGAGAAAGTAATCAAGTCCCTTCCATCTCTTTTGTTTGTAGACTTTACATATATTAGTTTCTCTTGTGACTGTGATAATGTCTGGTTTATAAATTGGACCAGAGCTAACAAACAAACACAGGTCAACGATGCATATAACTATTCTTGCAACTATCCAGATAACTTCAAAGGCAAAAAACTTTTGGACTTTGACATCACATCCTGCTTGCCGGACAAGGGTTTTATCCATTTTGCGTCCACAACGGGCGTCATTCTTTTTTTTTTGGTCATCTCCTTCACTTACCATTTTATGAGGTCTCACCTTTACTATGCCTACCACCTCATCTGGGCTTGGCTTTTTGACTCAAGGTATAAGAATAAGCAAGCTTCTCATCGGTACGATGCCTTTATATCCTACAACTCCAATGATGAGCCTTGGGTGATTGAACAGCTGTTACCCCGGCTGGAGGGAGAGCAGGGCTGGAGGTTATGTCTGCACCATCGAGACTTTGAACCAGGTAAGAGCATCCTCTCATTAGATTCTTCAGTAGAAAGCTTTTAAATTTGCATAAACCTTTTTATTTGTATTTTAACTACTATAAAGGAGAGAGTTTTGTTTTTGTCCACTCGGTTCATATTTGAAAATACTTCATTTGGCAAGTAAGTGTACCAAAAATGTTTAACTATTATTACTTTGCTAAGTGCTATTACAGCTGCATGGTATGTTTTTGAAGCATCCTCTGTTACCATTTGGTATTTTGGTAACTGAGATAACTGGTGGTGTTACAACATGGGCCCCTTGCTCCTGTTTTAGTCCCAGATCCTTGCAAACTGAATCGTTTACCTGCGCACTGCTGGTCTTTATTTGAATTTAATAGTTCCAAACCAGATCATTACTTCACTTTGTAATGAGCAGAAAACAAAAGTAAATGGCATGTACTTATATAGCGCCTTTATTCAAGTCAGGAGACTTGACCAAAGCGCTTTACACTACATTCATTCACCCATTCACGCACACACTCACGGTGGCAAGCTACATTGTAGCCACAGCTGCCCTGGGGCTCACTGACAGAAGCGGGGCTGCTGTACACTGGCACCACCAGGCCCTCTGACCACCATCAGTAGACAATGCAGGTGAAGTGTCTTGCCAAAGGGCACAACGACACTGAAAGTCGGAGTCGGGGCTTGAACCGTCAATCCTTCGATTTCAGGGCAAACTCCTACATCTAATGCCACTGTCGCCCTCAAAAGGCCCAAAATTCAACCAGGGCGTTTTAACAATTTATTGAAACGGGACCCCAACGGGTTGGGAGGGATTCACAGTCTGGAACCAGAACTTCTGAAAGGAGATTGAACAGTTGAGTGACCAGACAGACACAGAGGGAGATTTCTAAAATGTTCAGTTCTGGCTCACTAACCTTCTCGGTATTTGTGAACTGTCAGGTGTATTAATGATGAATATGACCAGTACTAATGCCAGGAGTCACAACAAATCTCTTCCTGTGTATTAGCGTAATATGATTGGAGTACCAATTAATCCTGAAAGCATTACTGTGCTTGACTGCAGAACTAGAATGGGGATCTAGTCAAAGATCTTAATCTGGCCACCTCTGTAGAGATGGGAGAATCCATTACTTTGGCACAGGTGTGAAAAATTTAGGCAAAGAACCTAAAGTTTTCAGAGGTGGCATTTCTTGAATTTGACACTTTTTATTTGTTAAAAAGAACCAAATACAAAGACATACGATACAAAAATTTAGAAAGAGGAAAACTAAAATAAGAAAGGACTGGTGTAATACAAAAAACATTGGAACTGAAAATTAGAAAAACAGAAATTAAATTATGCAAATCTAAATGCAAGGAGAAATACCACCTAAAAGAACAAGCAAGGTTTACAATTTAATTATGCCTTTTATGTGAAATGGCTTTATACTGTTTCACAAATTTAATAGCACTTTCTGTTAATACTCTGTTTTTAAGGGGACACTTTTACACATTGATAAACCTGAAGTGTCGACTTCAGTTGCAGACTCATTTTGTTCTTTTGTCAAACAAGCTTTAGAGTCATCACCAAACTATTCTTGTAAACAACATCACATCCTCTTTTTAGCTCCGGGTAAAGAATATGTGGTTTCCTCCTTTTTTTTTTTTTTTTTGCCGAAGCAAAAAATAAGAAGCTTGAGCGTTTTGCACTTCAAGACCTGTGTAGGGTGTTCAGATCTCTTGCCAAAACAGGAATAAGATAAGGTCTGACATCCTCTTTTGATTAGATTTTCTTAACACATTGTTCAAGATGTAGTGTTTCTGCGACCAAAGTTTCAACTGATCCACCCAGCTTCTCCTTTTTTTCTCACTACAGCTTTGTAGACCAGATGTCCATCTATTAGCTTCAGGTTTTTCATGGTGGACCTTAACAGCATTTTTGCTTTTACTGTATGATCATAAACCATCACACATATCTTGTTATTGTTTTGTCACAAATCGCAGGCTGGATATGATGCCACTGGAAATTGTTTCATCAACATCACTGACAATTATTCAAGCAAACAATTGTGATCTTTATAGTCTTGTTTATATACATTTGGTATAATTCCCCAGTCTAAAGAGTGGAAAATGGTTTTGCACAATCGCTGCAAAATCGCTGGCGGTCTGGAAGTAGTCATGATGCAGCATTTAAATCCTCTGTGGTTTTGTTGTTCTTTTCTGCAGGGAGGTCCATTATAGACAACATCACAGATGCTATCTATAGCAGTAGGAAGACCATCTGTGTGATCAGCCAGAGATACCTCAGGAGTGAGTGGTGCTCCAGAGAGGTCCAGACAGCCAGGTAATATCGATGGTGAAACACTAATTTACTGTAATTGTCTTTACCCCCCTTACAGATTTCTTCTTATTTTGCATTTTTGTAAAGACAATAGGATTCATTATATTGAAATATGAGATTAGGACTCCTTATTGGATGATTTAAGGAGTCATAACCTGTATTACATGAAATAATATAATGTTTCAGGCTCAAAAAGTGAATTCAATAATATGTTTATGCATTTAACAGACTCCTTTATCCAAAGTGTGTTAAAAATTAAGTAGGCATTAGCATGAAGGATTTTGCCTAAGG